TAATATATAAATCTGTATTATAATGCAATGTATATGAGAGAGTCTAGTATATATATAAATCTGAAATCCTGTTCTATATATATATAAATCTGTTTATTCTGAAATCTGTCTATACTATATATATATATAAATCTGCTCTATTATATATAAATCTGGCCTATATAATAGTATAAATCAGTTAATTCTTAATCTGGTAAATCTGTTTATTGTATTTAAAATCTTAATTTTTTTTTTTATAAATCTGTTTATTGTATTAAAATAATTCTTAAATAAACTGTTTATTTGCGTTTATATATATCTGTTTATTTATGGTTTATAAATTCTAGTTGTGTTTATAAATCTTATTTTATTGGTTTATAAATCTGTTTATTGTATATAAAATAATCTTAAATATCAGATTTCAGAGATGTCTTATATATATCTGTTTATTGGTTTTATTTAAAAATACAATAAAACAGATTTCAGAGATGTCTTATATAAATCTGCTCTATATATACAATAATTCTTAAAATACAGTTAACCATAATAAATCTGTTTATTATGCATAGAATTTTCTTTTTTTTTTTGTTATTTTTGAATATCATACACATGTAATTGGTTCGATTTACAAAAAATTTAAATTGCAATTGTTTAAATAAGTCATAAAAATATTTAGAGAAAAATAAAAAAAAAATACAAAAAAAAAATCAAGATTTTAAAACCCTTATAAATTAAAATAAAATCTTAAATTTTTAATTTTTAAATAAATTTTAAAACCTTAAAATGGAATTTTTTTAGACATTTTCGTTTAATTTGGCCCAAATAAGGGATTTTTTTGGTTTTTTCAAAGCTTAAAAATTCCCCTTCTCCTAGACATTCATCTATATATAGACATTCATCTATATATATATATACATATACAGAGACCGAGAGAGAGAGAGAGAGAGAGCATACGCAGAGCGAGAGAGAGTCGTCGCTGGAGCACCACTACTTGTCGCCGTCGCCGCCGCACCACCGCTGGCTTGCTCGCCGCACCATCGCTGTCTTGCTCGTAGCCCATTTGAGAAATTTGGGGGTGAAGTTAGGGATTTGAGGAGGAAGGATCAAGCGGCAACAGGAAAAAGAAGAGGGGGGATTTTTTTATTTTGACTTTTTGCGACGGTATGCTGTAGACCATCGCAAATAGAAGGCAATAGTTCGTAAAACGGCGCCGTTTGAATTAATACTTTTTTGCGACGACAAATTTCCGTCGCAAATGAAATATGCCGTCTAAAAAAAAAGGTGTTTTGCGACGGTTTTCTTTACCGTCGCTAATACTTCCGCATTTCCGACCCCTCCACTTAGTTTCATTACCGACGGGTAAGTGCCGTCGCTAAAGGCTATTATTTGCGACGGGTGACGTTACCGTTGCAAAAAAACCGTTTTTTGCGACGGGGGGCGCGACGTCGCTAAAAGCTCCGTGTTTTTTGCTATGTTTTCCTGTAGTGCCTCCTTGCCATTTGTGATTTTCATAACATTAAAGACCTTTTAAGTTTTAAAGATTAAATTAATTACTTTTAACAGTTTCTTCAAGTACTATAAAAGTCCCTGTTGCATGCTTCCCATGTCATCCAAGAGTTAAAGAAATAGAAACCACAATTAGATAATCAAAAATGGCATCCTCTTTTGGTAATTATTCAATATTAGTTTCAATTGTATTCATGTTCATATTGATTAGTCCCTCATTTGCTGAAAAACATACCAGCAAGCTCAACAAAATATGTCCTCATACTGATGATATCGATCTCCCTCGGTGCATGAAGCTAATGAATTCCGATTCTCCTACTGCACCTGCTGACACTCGTGGTCTTATTGAGGTCGCGATCGACTTAGCATACTCCAAGGCTAGAGACATTTTTAAGGATCTTGATTCACATTATGTTGAGTGGAAGGGCGGTGCGTGGAATGATCGATTCACCCCATGTTACAAAAATTATCGCAATACCATGAAAGACCTTCAGCAAGCTAAGAAGCTTTTCTATAATGGTGACTATAAGCGCATAGTGGTTCAAGTGAACCATGCCATAGAACAAGTACGTGGCTGCAAAAGTAAATTTTATAGTTCAGCAAGTTACGCATCGGACCTCAGAGTATGTGTTAAATTTAATGGATATAGAGAAAGAGGGAAATAGAACTCTGTTTATTCAATCTCACTTACAATAGATACACACACTCCTTCATATATAGGAGATGGGGAGATGCTAATGCTATACAGACACCATCATAGGGAAGGGACAGAAAGGAAAAGCAGCCGAAAGCACAATGCCACTACTGCCACTAACTATACATTAATCTAATCTATGTATATAGATTATATATATTATCTATGTAGATATATTATATATATTAACAGCCCCCCTCAAACTCAAGGAGGATAGGTACTAACCAACTTGAGTTTGGAGAGAGTAACAAAACAGGAAAGTAAACTGATAAATAAAATAAAGTAGGATAGGAGACACTGTATGGTTGTGTCAAATTATTGTTGAAGACACGGTATGGTCGTGTCACACCGTTGTAGCAGATAATGCCTGGACAGTTTACGAGGTCATGCCGGACCGATGTAAAAGCTAACCAGAATCAATGTCGAGACAGTTTACGGGGTCATGCCGGACCGATGTAGATGCTAACCGGAATCAATGTCGAGACAGTTTATGGGGTCATGTCGGACTGTTGTAAAAGCTAACCGGAATCATTGTCGGGACAGTTTACGGGGTCATGCCGGACTGATGTAGAAGACACTGTATGATTGTGTATATAGGCTGCCCAAAAGATATACATGTATATATATCGAGCCCTCAAAAGTTGCGCCTTCAAAAGGCGCGCCCACTGCATCAAAAGCCGTGCCCGACAGAAATCATCGAGCGGCGAGCCATCAAAAGGCACGCCAGACACGCGGCGATGCACGTGAGCGACAGAGCGGCGTGTCAGCCGCATCGTCATTGTCGATATAAACCAATGCGGAGGCTGTGTAAATCAAACCAGGCTGAAACCTCTGAGCATTGTCATTCTGAAACACTCTGTAACCACTGTGTAACCAACCCTTCTCTGAAACACTCAGCAACCATAACATGGCCTTCTTCTTCCCGTGGTCTGCTCACTCTCTTTCCAAACCTCAATGAGTCCACAAGCAACCAAGCGCCTCTGGTTTTGCTTCGTTGAACTTTCCGATGCGGTCGGTGGAGCAAAAAATGGCGGTGCAAGCGGATATTGAGGCCAATCAGTATACATTGAAGTCATGTGTGGAGACGATGACGGCAGTCACAAACTTGTCGCACCGGCTACAGAGTAGGACAAATGAGGTGCAGCAGTTAAACGTCCAACTGGCTCTGCTCCAGCGCATGTATAAGGATGCGCGAGCAGAGATATGTGTGCTAAAAGCGGAAAACAAGGAGCTGAAGCGGAAGGCCACCGTTATGTTCTGATTTGGAGGTCCGCCATATGCTGCAGTGGAGGAGCAGGGGGGAGTGAACGTGCTCGGTGGATTAGGAAGTACTGAGACCGGGCTGTCACGGGACACCCAAGATAAAAGTAAGAAGAAGAGAACAACGGAAGAGGCGAAAAAGTAAGGCCGATTTTGGTGGTGGTTGTGGGTTGTGAGTGGAGATTGTTTTGGTTTGTTTTTTTTTTTTTTAAATTTTATGTGTGTGTGTGATGTATTGGTAATGCTCTGGTATTACAATGGAAATGTAGGACTTGAATTTGGTGGTTTGCGAATAATAGTCTATGATGGTATGCTGGCACTTTGAGTATTGGATACTGTTGTGCTTGTGATAAAAGAAAATAAAATAGGATAAAATACAAGAGGAAGAAACGGTGGGTATGGTGATATGGGGGAGAGACACACGCTGGACACACACAGAATACACAGGACACAAAAAAGATAAGATAAAATAAAGAAAGGTATTCTATTTTGTGGAGAGAGAGTCGGTGAGTGGGGTGCAAAAGGTGAGGAGAAATGATGGGTTGAAAATGTTTTGGGTCAAAAGTGGTGGTGAAAGGCACAGGAAAATTGATTAAAAATAAATAAAGAAGTGGAAAACATGAGTGTATTGATTATTTGATATAATAATAATAATAATAAAAATAAAAAGTTAGACCACTTGGAGAGAATGAGTGGAGTATGGTAAGGGTTTCATGACCACCGTGCACTCCATCACAGATATAGGAAAAGGAAAATGATAAAAGAAAGAAAAAGAAAAATAATGTGTCAAAGTGAGTGGAGACAGATTGGGTGGTATTGGCAGGAAAGGGTATTGATCCTTTGTTGTGGGCAATTCAACTCTCTTCGAAATTGAACTCTGCAGGAGTCTCTCTCCCCTTTCCTGAACTCATACAAATTATTGCACAGGGTGTGTTTGTAACCAAGGATGGTTGTACAAATGATCTCCAACATGTAAAACAGCTTGGTCGTTCCAGTCGGAGAGAGCACTGTTGAGATCGGACAGACCGAGTTTGACTCGCAGAACCGTCGGCGTGATGACCGGAGCCGACAAGAAGGCGGCGAAGGCCGAAAGAATGTCTGAAAGCTGTCATCACAGACGTGGCAGTTTCCCAGGCGTTGGATGTGGTAGAGATAATGTGGTTTCCAGTGAGGAAGAGGAAGAGCATTACTTGGACTTTCCGAAATTCCAGAGCAACAAAATGGAGATAAGCAACCTATTAGAATTTATTTAAATTATGATGTTGTTGGTCTCTCACCAGATAGAGACTGTCAAAATGTTGGGGAAATAGTTAAGCTTGGTGAGCCCCTTCTGAATCCTGATCGCGGTGTTCCATCTTGCAATCCTCATGTTGATCCTCCAATTTTGGGTGACTGCTGGTATAACTGCACTTTGGATGATATATCTGGGGCTGACAAAAGACATCGCCTTCGAAAGGCTCTAGGGCAGACAGCAGACTGGTTCAGAAGAGCATTAGCTGTTGAGCCTGTGAAAGGGAACTTGCGGTTGAGTGGATATTCTGCATGTGGACAAGATGGGGGTGTACAACAGGAATCTAATCGGCATGTGGACAAGATGGAGTTGCTGACGCAGACTTAGTTCTTCTGGTAACTGCAAGACCTACAACAGGAAACACCCTAGCATGGGCTGTGGCGTGTGAGCGTGATCAATGGGGTCGTGCGACGGCGGTGGTGGTCGATTCGGGGTTTGACTCTTTGTTGCTTCATATGAATCCATGGTGAGGTCTGGAAAAGCTTGGTCTTCGTTGGCAGCCATTGTAAAGGCAGAGAAGAGCTCAATTATGGAAGAATGTATGTGTAGAAAAACAAGCGGACTAGGTTGAGGTCCGGCGGGCGGCCAAGGTGAGGTTGCTGCCCGCCGGTGAAGCGAAAAATACTAAGTTCTTAACCTAGCTTTGATACCATGTTAAATTTAATGGATATAGAGAAAGAGGGAAATAGAACTCTGTTTATTCAATCTCACTTACAATAGATACACACACTCCTTCATATATAGGAGATGGGAAGATGCTAATGCTATACAAACACCATCATAGGGAAGGGACAGAAAGGAAAAGCAGCCGAAAGCACAATGCCACTACTGCCACTAACTATACATTAATCTAATCTATGTATATAGATTATATATATTATCTATGTAGATATATTATATATATTAACAGCCCCCCTCAAACTCAAGGAGGATAGGTACTAACCAACTAGAGTTTGGAGAGAGTAACAAAACAGGAAAGTAAACTGATAAATAAAATAAAATAGGATAGGAGACACTGTATGGTCGTGTCGAACCGTTGGTGAAGACACTGTATGGTCGTGTCAAATCATTGTAGCAGCTAATCGGAATCAATGTCGGGACAGTTTACGGGGTCATGCCGGACTGATGTAGAAGCTGACCGGAACCAATGTCGGGACAGTTTACGGGGTCATGCCGGACCGATGTAGAAGCTGACCGGAATCAATGTCGGGACAGTTTACGGGGTCATGCCGGACCGTTGTAGAAGCTGACCGGAATCAATGTCGGGACAGTTTTTCTCAGAAAAAATTTCTAA